TGGGAGGTAGGGAGGGTGTTAGGAGGGTTGGAGGGTGTTGGGAAGGAGGAAGAGTGTTGGGAGGGTGTTAGAAGGGTGGGAGGGTGTTGGGAAGGAAGGAGAGTGTTGGGAGGGAGGCTGTTAGGAGGGTGGGAGGGTGTTGGGAAGGAGGAAGAGTGTTGGGAGGGTGTTAGAAGGGATGGGAGGGTGTTGGGAGGTAGGGAGGGTGTTGGGAGGGTTGGAGGGTGTTGGGAAGGAGGAAGAGTGTTGGGAGGGTGTTAGAAGGGTGGGAGGGTGTTGGGAAGGAAGGAGAGTGTTGGGAGGGAGGCTGTTAGGAGGGTGGGAGGGTGTTGGGAGGGAGGGAGGCTGTTGGGAAGGAAGGAGAGTGTTGGGAGGGAGGGTGTTAGGAGGGTGGGAGGTTGTTTGGAGGTAGGAAGGGTGTTGGCAAGGAGGGAGAGTGTTGGGAGGGAGGGAGGGAGAGGGAGGGTGTTGGGAGGGAGGGAGAGTGTTGGGAGGGAGGGTGTTGGGAAGGAGGGAGGGTGTTAAGAGGGTGGGAGGGAGGAAGCGGTTGGGAGGGAGGGTGTTAGGAGGGTGGGAGGGAGGAAGGGTGTTGGGAGGGAGGGTTTTAGGAGGGTGGGAGAGTGTTGGGAAGAAAGGAGAGTGTTGGGAGGGAGGGTGTTAGGAGGGTGGGAGGGAGGGAGGGTGTTGGAAAGGAAGGAGAGTGTTGGGAGGGAGGGTGTTAGGAGGGTTGGTGGGTTTTGGGAGGGAGGGAGGGTGTTGGAAAGGAAGGAGAGTGTTGGGAGGGAGGGTGTTAGGAGGGTGGGTGGGTTTTGGGAGGTAGGGAGGGTGTTAGGAGGGTGGGAGGGTGTTGGCAAGGAGGGAGAGTGTTGGGAGGGAGGGAGGGTGTTGGGAGGGAGTGAGAGTGTTGGGAGGGAGACAATCAAGTGATTGATATTATGAGGATTGATCCGCGCAATTGGGATCGATGACATGGTTCAACCAAGTCAGCAAGCCTGACCACCCGATCCCGTTAGTCGCCTTTTATGACAAGCATAGGGAGGGTGTTGGGAGGGAGGGTTGGAGGTTGTTTGGAGGAAGGGAGAGTGTTGGGAGGGAGCGTGTTGGGAGGGAGTGTGGGAGGTTGTTAGGAGAGTGTTGGGAGGGAGGGAGGGTGTTGGGAGGAAGGTAGAGTGTTGGGAGGGAGGGTATTGGGGAGGGAGGGAGAGTGTTGGGAGGGAGGTGTAAGGAGGGTGGGAGGGTAAGGGGAGAGAGGGTGGGTTGATGTTAGAAAGAAGGAAATGTGTTGCGAGGAAGGGAGGGTGTTGGGAAGGAGGGAGGGTGTTAGGAGGGAGGGAGCAGGAGTGGAAATTTAACAAAAAAATTCACTTGCCATCGGACAAGTTTAAAGACAGTTTTCACTTGCCCTGATTTCATTTTCACTTGCCCAAATAATTTCAAAATAAAACTTCAAATCATCAATAGATCTATGTGTTTATCTCTTTCAACACCGTAGGCCGGTTTTCCGGCCAAGAAGCATCGAGTATTCAGACACCGTTGGCCGGTTTTCCGGCCAAGCCGTAGTCACGTCAAAATAGTATATATTTTTATGGACCTACCTGTAATATCATTCATTTATTAAATCTATCACATTTAACAATGTCTGAAATACGTATTCCATTTCAATTTATCATTTTTTAATGATAAATTAAAAAATTATTCACTATTTCCCGCGATGTTATTGAAAATAAAATTCTCGGACACACATTTCGACAACGGGTCTACATCGAACATGTCAAAGAGCAAAATAAAGACGTTTTAAACAAATCTTTAAATTTATTATACAAAGTAATAAATAAAATCAACAAAAATATATCTAAAAGAATCAAACTTACATCTAAGTTATTATTTCCATCTTTTCGTGTGATTGCGTGTAATGTAAGTCAAATGACATCTCGGCTTTCGTCGCCTTGAATTCTCGGCTTGGACACGATGTTTAATGAAAAAATATATGCATGAAAAATCTTTGTCACAGCTCGTAACCTAGCACACGTGCTCAAAATTGACCAATCACGAAACTTGTAGCAGATTTCGGCAAGAAAGTGTCATTAGAAACCAATTTTAATCCAATGAAATCGCAACAGCGCGATTACGAAATTTCTCTCAGCTAATTTATTGTACCATTTTACCAGTAGTTAGACATGTAGACAGTGATAGTAATTTCCAATATTACTTTACTCCGGACAAGTTAAAGTAAGTGATTTTGTTGCCCGACCTCGTATTTCTACTTGCCCTGGGAGTCGGGAAATGGCAAATTTCCACCCCTGGGGAGGAAGGGTGTTAGTAGGGATGGAGAATTTTGGGAGGGAGGGAGGGTGTTGGGAGGGAGAGAGGGCGTTAGGAAGAAGGGAGAGTGTTGGGAGGGAGGGAGGGTGTTAGGAGGAAGGGAGAGTGTTGGGAGGGAGGATGGGAGGGAGGGTGTGAGAGTGTTGGGAGGGAGGGTGGGAGGGAGAGTTTTGTGAGGTAGGGAGGGTGTTGGGAGGGAGGGTATTGGGGAGGGAGGGAGGGTGTAAGGAGGGAGGGATAGTGTTGGGAGGGAGGTGTAAGGAGGGTGTGAGAGTGTTGGGAGGGCGGTTGGGAGGGAGAGTGTTGGGAGGAAGGGAGAGTGTTGGATGATGGTTTTACCATGCATTATGAATTTGGTTATGAATTTTGTTACAGTTTCCCAAGGCTGTCTTACAATGAATGACCATTTTAGGCCTTTTCTTTGCAATCACTTGATTTACAGTGTTAAAAAAAACCCAGTTTATTTGAGTAATAACTCTTCAGACCACCACTGTCATGAGGGTTCTGTCATGGTAATAAACAACAAGCAGTATGTTACCAGGGTGTGATTTCCCACAAGACCGCATACGTGCAGGTTAACATCGGCTTGTGCAGCACTGAGGGCAGTTGGTAAAATATGACACAAACATGCTTATTAATATTTTTACCATGTACACAAAAAAAAAATTACTTTACTTTTGCATGATGTTCATGTTTACATCATATTAATGTACACTACTGATTGCCAAATCTTCCCTATATAAACGTCAGCCAATCAAATCCCTTTTTGTCATTAATTTACATACACATTAATGCCCGTAAGAAAAAAAGGAAAAAGACAACCAATCAAATCACTGGGTTTACACTCAAGGCTGAAAAAGGGAGTGGATCACGGTCGGGTTTTCGAGGGCTACAGAACAAAATGGCATGTCTTGACAGTTTATGTTCCTGTGCTGATTTCTTGATACGTTTCACCATAAATGCACAAATTAGACAACAGATTATACAGTTTTCAAGATTTTGGAAAGAAAACAGGTGAGACTGCCTCCCCTTTTTAATTGCAAAAAGGTGAAATCGGACACAGTGTCTGTGGTGATATCGAAGTTGACAAAAATCTGGTGATAATACTAAAATGCAAGCAGACAATTTAGATATGTAGCAAAGATCTCACTGACTGGTGGGAGTCAATTGTAATACATCATGGGCGGCCATTTGGTAAAAAAAATACAAAGTTGAAATAAAGGACCCAGGTATGCAGTAATAGTCAAATGTTAGGAATAAAGTATTACATGTTACCAATAAAGGTTAGAATACAAAACAAACAGATGCTGTTTAAAAAGATACAAAGTCAAAATAAAGGTCAAAAGTACGCAATGATAGCACACCAGATGGTGTTGCAATTTGTAAAATATTCCGATTTTAATCTACTTGTTCAGCTGTGTATATGATAACTGCATGCCCAGGTGCACTATGTATTACGTCATTACACAAAGATGTAAAATGTTCTCTTTCCTGTCTGTGGAAGTGGTTTAGATGTAACTGCAAATATTAAACCGATTTGAAAAAGAGACACCATATACATGACATCAGATGGTGGGTGCACGAGGAATGACATAATACATTGTACACCTCGTCCTTTTGTGCGCACTAACATTCTTTAGTACACATTGTTCTTTCTTTACATGGTGCCTTTTGTTTGCGAGTTGTTCATTGGTATCGTGTTGTATTTTGAGTTCATGATTTGTATGTTAATAATGACCTTTATTTGTAACATTCATTCTTTATTCGTACCACCCCTGTAGTCACTTCCTGGTTGGAGTCAGTAGTAATACACATCTATGGATCACGTATGGGTACAGAATGGGGACCATCCAAGTAGTCACTTCCTGGTTGGAATCAGTAGTAATACACACCCATGGATCATGTACAGGGTACAGAATGGGGACCATCCCTGTAGTCACTTCCTGGTTGGAGTCAGTAGTAATACACACCCATGGATCATGTACAGGGTACAGAATGGGGACCATCCCTGTAGTCACTTCCTGGTTGGAGTCAGTAGTAATACACACCCATGGATCATGTACAGGGTACAGAATGGGGACCATCCCTGTAGTCACTTCCTGGTTGGAGTCAGTAGTAATACACACCCATGGATCATGTACAGGGTACAGAATGGGGACCATCCCTGTAGTCACTCCCTGGTTGGAGTCAGTAGTAATACACACCCATGGATCATGTACAGGGTACAGAATGGGGACCATCCCTGTAGTCACTTCCTGGTTGGAGTCAGTAGTAATACACATCTATGGATCACGTACAGGGTACAGAATGTGGACCACCCCTGTAGTCACTTCAGGGTTGGAGTGGACCAGGGTCAGTTGGCCCACAATACAGTTTTGTTGTGGATGAGGAACATAAAGCAAAGCGACTGGATAGAAACCATGGTGTTTCGGTTTATGATAGGCTTATGTGTAAGCCCATTTGCCTCGGCTTGGCAGGTGAGCTACGCAACATCTTGTCTACTTTTATCCACAGTTGTATTTGTTGCAGCAAGCCCCTTGGAACAACTCGTCACTGTCTTATTTGAATGTATCATTCCAGTGAGCTATACTATCATGGAGCTATGTTTAACAGTCCCCCAAGTGTACTTTGACTTTGGCAGGAAGTGTTGGTGTCAACTGTTCTCTTGTGTGTGGCAGATGCACTACTACCAGCCCATGTGGACGCTGGTGGGAGCGGGGATCAAGACTCTGCAGGCCTCAGGGCGACCCATGCAGTCTGTCCTGCCCCGCGGCTGTGACTGGATCAAGGATCGAGCTGTGTCATTTGACCCAGACCGCTGCACAGTGACCACAGGAAGCGGGGAACAGGTACTTCACTTCACCTCCTGTTGTCATGGTTATGTAATGCAAACTTTAGTCCATGATTTATTTATTATACTGTAAAGACAATCATTGTCAAGCGAGATTTGTTTCACAGCGGTATAAGGATCTCTAACGAAACATTGTCTTTACTGTACCGTATATGACCGCAGATAAGCCGACCATTGAAATACGAAAGAAAATGATATGACCTGCAGATAAGCCGAACCAGGAAGTGAAAGGCAAAAAACATGTAAAGATTGTGGAGCTTATGAAGAACGATAAACTTTGAACATTCAATTGAAAACTTATTATCGGAAGTTGTAACATGCATAACATTTTTAAAAAAATGACAACATTGGTGTATAATAATAACTTTATTGATAATTTATAACAATAATGGCTCTAGTTGTGGCAACTTCCAAACTTTCGGGAAGTTGTAATCTATCGGACTGTCATTCAGGCGATGTTCCTGACAGATCACGATCTGAAAAATACTATCATGAAAGTGTATCCCGTGGATAAGTCGACCCCCTTCTACAGAATCTTATTTCTGGACCTCAAAATTCGGCTTATCTGCGGACATATACGGTATACGAAAAAAGTTGTTATCCATAATTTTTGTGTGTAAAGTTGTCATCCACCATCTTCTAAGAAATGCCTATCAAACAATTCTTTAATACTGCTTTACTGATGAAGTTGAAACTTAGCATGCAAGTTTCTTTTTTATCTTAACTGAAATTAGTTTCTTAATTCACCAAGTTTCTATAATTCACTGTTTATGATGGTGGCTCTGTATTTGCCTTGTTCCTCATAATGAAGTATTGTGATATTGATGGTGTTTCCAGATAGGCTATGACTTCCTGGTAGTTGCGATGGGCATGCAACTCAACTATAGTCAGGTAAGTGTCCATCAAATGAGGGTCCAGGGATCAACAGAAGGCCCTGGGATCAATAAAGGGCCTGGGGATCAACTGTAGGGCCTTCTGATCAACAGTAGGGCCAAGGGATTAACAGTAGGGCCCGGGATCAACAGTAGGGCCAGGAGATCAACAGTAGGGCCAGGTCTCAACAGAAGGTCCAGGGGATCAACAAAAGGGCCCAGGTCTCAACAGTAAGACCCAGGGATGAACAGTAGAGCCCTTGGATCAACAGAAGGGCCAGGGGATCAATGCAGGGCCCAGGGATCAACAGTAGGACCCAGGGATCAACAGTAGAGCCCTTGGATCAACAGATGGGCCTGGGGATCAACATTAGGGTCCAGGGATCAACATTAGGGCCCGGGGATCAACAGTAGGACCCAGGGATCAACAGTAGGACCCAGGGATCAACAGAAGGGCCAGGGGATCAATGCAGGGCCCAGGGATCAATGAAGGGCCCAGGTCTTAACAGTAGGACCCAGGGATGAACAGTAGAGCCCTTGGATCAACAGATGGTCCGGGGATCAACAGTAGAGCCCGGGGATTAACAATAGAGCCCTTGGATCAACAGATGGTCCGGGGATCAACAGTAGAGCCCGGGGATTAACAATAGAGCCCTTGGATCAACAGAAGGACCCAGGGATGAACAGTAGAGCCCTTGGATCAACAGATGGTCCGGGGATCAACAGTAGAGCCCGGGGATTAACAATAGAGCCCTTGGATCAACAGATGGTCCGGGGATCAACAGTAGAGCCCGGGGATTAACAATAGAGCCCTTGGATCAACAGTAGGGCCCAGGGATGAACAGTAGAGCCCTTGGATCAACAGATGGTCCGGGGATCAACAGTAGAGCCCGGGGATTAACAATAGAGCCCTTGGATCAACAGTAGGGCCCGGGGATCAACAGTAGGGCCCAGGTCTAAACGGTAGGACCCAGGGATCAACACTAGGGCCCGGGGATTAACAGTAGAGCCCTGGGATCAAGAGAAGGGGCATGGGATCAACAGTGAGGGCCCAGGGTAGCCAGTAGGGCCCAGGGATCAACAGAAGAGCCTGGGGATCAACAGTAGGGTCCGGGGATCAACAGTAGGGCCCAGGTCTCAACAGTAGGACCCAGGGATGAACAGTAGAGCCCTTGGATCAACAGATGGGCCTGGGGATCAACAGTATGGTCCGGGGATCAACATTAGGGCCCGGGGATCAACAGTAGGAGTTGTAGCCCTGTCAGTGTTGTAGCCCAGTCAGTGTTGTAGCAAAGTCGCCCTGTCAATGTTGTAGCCCTGTCAATGTTGTAGCCCTGTCAGTGTTGTAGCCAAGTCAGTGTTGTAGCCTAGTCAGTGTTGTAACCCTGTCAGTGTTGTAACCCAGTCAGTGTTGTAACCCAGTCAGTGTTGTAGCCAAGTCAATGTTGTAGCCCTGTCAGTGTTGTAACCCTGTCAGTGTTGTAGCCCTGTCAGTGTTGTAACCCAGTCAGTGTTGTAACCCAGTCAGTGTTGTAGCCAAGTCAATGTTGTAGCCCAGTCAGTGTTGTAACCCTGTCAGTGTTGTAGCCCTGTCAGTGTTGTAGCCCTGTCAGTGTTGTAGCCCAGTCAGTGTTGTAACCCAGTCAGTGTTGTAGCCCAGTCAGTGTTGTAGCCCTGTCAGTGTTGTAGCCCTGTCAGTGTTGTAGCCCTGTCAGTGTTGTAGCCCTGTCAGTGTTGTAGCCCAGTCAGTGTTGTAGCCCAGTCAGTGTTGTAACCCAGTCAGTGTTGTAGCCCTGTCAGTGTTGTAGCCCTGTCAGTGTTGTAACCCAGTCAGTGTTGTAACCCAGTCAGTGTTATAGCCCTGTCAGTGTTGTAACCCTGTCAGTGTTGTAGCCCTGTCAGTGTTGTAACCCTGTCAGTGTTGTAGCCCTGTCAGTGTTGTAACCCAGTCAGTGTTGTAGCAAAGTCGCCCAGTCAATGTTGTAGCCCTGTCAGTGTTGTAGCCCAGTCAGTGTTGTAGCCCAGTCAGTGTTGTAGCCCAGTCAGTGTTGTAACCCAGTCAGTGTTGTAGCCCAGTCAGTGTTGTAGCCCAGTCAGTGTTGTAACCCAGTCAGTGTTGTAGCCAAGTCAATGTTGTAGCCCTGTCAGTGTTGTAACCCTGTCAGTGTTGTAGCCCTGTCAGTGTTGTAACCCAGTCAGTGTTGTAGCCCAGTCAGTGTTGTAGCCAAGTCAATGTTGTAGACAAGTCGGCTAGTCAGTGTTGTAGCCCATTCGCCCAGTCAGTGTTGTAGCCCAGTCAGTGTTGTAGCCCTGTCAGTGTTGTAACCCAGTCAGTGTTGTAGCCCAGTCAGTGTTGTAGCCAAGTCAATGTTGTAGCCAAGTCGCCCAGTCAGTGTTGTAGCCCAGTCGCCCAGTCAGTGTTGTAACCCAGTCGCCCAGTCAGTGTTGTAGCCAAGTCGCCCAGTCAGTGTTGTAGCCAAGTCGCCCAGTCAGTGTTGTAGCCCAGTCGCCCAGTCAGTGTTGTAGCCAAGTCGCCCAGTCAGTGTTGTAGCCCAGTCGCCCAGTCAGTGTTGTAGCCAAGTCGCCCAGTCAGTGTTGTAGCCCAGTCGCCCAGTCAGTGTTGTAGCCAAGTCGCCCAGTCAGTGTTGTAGCCAAGTCACCCAGTCAGTGTTGTAGCCCTGTCAGTGTTTGAAGCCAAGTAGCCCAGTCAGTGTTGTAGCCCAGTCAGTGTTGTAGCCCTGTCAGTGTTGTAGCCCTGTCAGTTTTGTAGCCCTGTCAGTGTTGTAGCCCTGTCAGTGTTGTAGCCCAGTCAGTGTTGTAGCCCAGTCAGTGTTGTAACCCAGTCAGTGTTGTAGCCCAGTCAGTGTTGTAGCCCTGTCAGTGTTGTAGCCCAGTCAGTGTTGTAGCCCTGTCAGTGTTGTAGCCCAGTCAGTGTTGTAACCCAGTCAGTGTTGTAGCCCAGTCAGTGTTGTAGCCCTGTCAATGTTGTAGCCCAGTCAGTGTTGTAGCCCAGTCAGTGTTGTAGCCCAGTCAGTGTTGTAACCCAGTCAGTGTTGTAGCCTAGTCAATGTTGTAACCCAGTCAGTGTTGTAACCCAGTCAGTGTTGTAGCCAAGTCAGTGTTGTAGCCCAGTCAGGGTTGTAACCCAGTCAGTGTTGTAGCCCAGTCAGTGTTGTAACCCTGTCAGTGTTGTAGCCCTGTCAGTGTTGTAGCCCAGTCAGTGTTGTAACCCAGTCAATGTTGTAACCCTGTCAGTGTTGTAGCCCAGTCAGTGTTGTAGCCCAGTCAATGTTGTAACCCTGTCAGTGTTGTAACCCAGTCAGTGTTGTAGCCCTGTCAGTGTTGTAGCCCAGTCAGTGTTGTAACCCAGTCAGTGTTGTAGCCTAGTCAATGTTGTATCCCAGTCAGTGTTGTAGCCCAGTCAATGTTGTAACCCAGTCAGTGTTGTAGCCTAGTCAATGTTGTAACCCAGTCAGTGTTGTAGCCAAGTCAGTGTTGTAACCCAGTCAGTGTTTTAGCCCAGTCAGTGTTGTAGCCCAGACAGTGTTGTAACCCAGTCAGTGTTGTAACCCAGTCAGTGTTTTAGCCCTGTCAGTGTTGTAGCCCTGTCAGTGTTGTAACCCTGTCAGTGTTGTAACCCAGTCAGTGGTGTAACCAAGTCAGTGTTGTAACCCTGTCAGTGTTGTAGCCCAGTCAGTGTTGTAGCCGTGTCAGTGTTGTAACCCAGTCAGTGTTGTAACCCAGTCAGTGTTGTAGCCCTGTCAGTGTTGTAGCCCAGTCAGTGTTGTAACCCAGTCAGTGTTGTAGCCCAGTCAATGTTGTAACCCAGTCAGTGTTGTAGCCCAGTCAATGTTGTAACCCAGTCAGTGTTGTAGCCTAGTCAATGTTGTAACCCAGTCAGTGTTGTAACCCAGTCAGTGTTGTAGCCCAGTCAGTGTTGTAGCCCAGTCAGTGTTGTAACCCTGTCAGTGTTGTAGCCCTGTCAGTGTTGTAACCCAGTCAGTGTTGTAGCCCTGTCAGTGTTGTAGCCTAGTCAATGTTGTAACCCAGTCAGTGTTGTAGCCCTGTCAATGTTGTAACCCAGTCAGTGTTGTAACCCAGTCAGTGTTGTAGCCCAGTCAGTGTTGTAGCCCAGTCAGTGTTGTAACCCTGTCAGTGTTGTAGCCCTGTCAGTGTTGTAACCCAGTCAGTGTTGTAGCCCTGTCAGTGTTGTAGCCTAGTCAATGTTGTAACCCAGTCAGTGTTGTAGCCCAGTCAATGTTGTAACCCAGTCAGTGTTGTAGCCTAGTCAATGTTGTAACCCAGTCAGTGTTGTAGCCAAGTCAGTGTTGTAACCCAGTCAGTGTTTTAGCCCAGTCAGTGTTGTAGCCCAGACAGTGTTGTAACCCAGTCAGTGTTTTAGCCCTGTCAGTGTTGTAGCCCTGTCAGTGTTGTAACCCTGTCAGTGTTGTAACCCAGTCAGTGGTGTAACCAAGTCAGTGTTGTAACCCTGTCAGTGTTGTAGCCCAGTCAGTGTTGTAGCCCTGTCAGTGTTGTAACCCAGTCAGTGTTGTAACCCAGTCAGTGTTGTAGCCCTGTCAGTGTTGTAGCCCAGTCAGTGTTGTAACCCAGTCAGTGTTGTAGCCCAGTCAGTGTTGTAACCCAGTCAGTGTTGTAGCCCTGTCAGTGTTGTAGCCCAGTCAGTGTTGTAACCCTGTCATAGTTGTAGCCCAGTCAGTGTTGTAACCCAGTCAGTGTTGTAGCCCAGTCAGTGTTGTAGCCCTGTCAGTGTTGTAACCCAGTCAGTGTTGTAACCCAGTCAGTGTTGTAACCCAGTCAGTGTTGTAGCCCAGTCAGTGTTGTAGCCCTGTCAGTGTTGTAACCCAGTCAGTGTTGTAGCCCAGTCAGTGTTGTAGCCCAGTCAGTGTTGTAACCCAGTCAGTGTTGTAACCCAGTCAGTGTTGTAGCCCAGTCAGTGTTGTAACCCAGTCAGTGTTGTAGCCCTGTCAGTGTTGTAGCCCAGTCAGTGTTGTAACCCAGTCAGTGTTGTAACCCAGTCAGTGTTGTAACCCAGTCAGTGTTGTAACCCTGTCAGTGTTGTAGCCCAGTCAGTGTTGTAACCCTGTCAGTGTTGTACCCAGTCAGTGTTATAGCCCAGTCAGTGTTGTAGCCCAGTCAGTGTTGTAGCCCTGTCAGTGTTGTAGCCCAGTCAGTGTTGTAACCCAGTCAGTGTTGTAACCCAGTCAGTGTTGTAGCCCAGTCAGTGTTGTAACCCAGTCAGTGTTGTAACCCTGTCAGTGTTGTAGCCCAGTCAGTGTTGTACCCAGTCAGTGTTGTAGCCCTGTCAATGTTGTAACCCAGTCAGTGTTGTAACCCAGTCAGTGTTGTACCCAGTCAGTGTTATAGCCCAGTCAGTGTTGTAACCCAGTCAGTGTTGTAGCCCTGTCAGTGTTGTAGCCTAGTCAATGTTGTAACCCAGTCAGTGTTGTAGCCCTGTCAATGTTGTAACCCAGTCAGTGTTGTAACCCAGTCAGTGTTGTAGCCCAGTCAGTGTTGTAGCCCAGTCAGTGTTGTAACCCTGTCAGTGTTGTAGCCCTGTCAGTGTTGTAACCCAGTCAGTGTTGTAGCCCTGTCAGTGTTGTAGCCTAGTCAATGTTGTAACCCAGTCAGTGTTGTAGCCCAGTCAATGTTGTAACCCAGTCAGTGTTGTAGCCTAGTCAATGTTGTAACCCAGTCAGTGTTGTAGCCAAGTCAGTGTTGTAACCCAGTCAGTGTTTTAGCCCAGTCAGTGTTGTAGCCCAGACAGTGTTGTAACCCAGTCAGTGTTTTAGCCCTGTCAGTGTTGTAGCCCTGTCAGTGTTGTAACCCTGTCAGTGTTGTAACCCAGTCAGTGGTGTAACCAAGTCAGTGTTGTAACCCTGTCAGTGTTGTAGCCCAGTCAGTGTTGTAGCCCTGTCAGTGTTGTAACCCAGTCAGTGTTGTAACCCAGTCAGTGTTGTAGCCCTGTCAGTGTTGTAGCCCAGTCAGTGTTGTAACCCAGTCAGTGTTGTAGCCCAGTCAGTGTTGTAACCCAGTCAGTGTTGTAGCCCTGTCAGTGTTGTAGCCCAGTCAGTGTTGTAACCCTGTCATAGTTGTAGCCCAGTCAGTGTTGTAACCCAGTCAGTGTTGTAGCCCAGTCAGTGTTGTAGCCCTGTCAGTGTTGTAACCCAGTCAGTGTTGTAACCCAGTCAGTGTTGTAACCCAGTCAGTGTTGTAGCCCAGTCAGTGTTGTAGCCCTGTCAGTGTTGTAACCCAGTCAGTGTTGTAGCCCAGTCAGTGTTGTAGCCCAGTCAGTGTTGTAACCCAGTCAGTGTTGTAACCCAGTCAGTGTTGTAGCCCAGTCAGTGTTGTAACCCAGTCAGTGTTGTAGCCCTGTCAGTGTTGTAGCCCAGTCAGTGTTGTAACCCAGTCAGTGTTGTAACCCAGTCAGTGTTGTAACCCAGTCAGTGTTGTAACCCTGTCAGTGTTGTAGCCCAGTCAGTGTTGTAACCCTGTCAGTGTTGTACCCAGTCAGTGTTATAGCCCAGTCAGTGTTGTAGCCCAGTCAGTGTTGTAGCCCTGTCAGTGTTGTAGCCCAGTCAGTGTTGTAACCCAGTCAGTGTTGTAACCCAGTCAGTGTTGTAGCCCAGTCAGTGTTGTAACCCAGTCAGTGTTGTAACCCTGTCAGTGTTGTAGCCCAGTCAGTGTTGTACCCAGTCAGTGTTGTAGCCCTGTCAATGTTGTAACCCAGTCAGTGTTGTAACCCAGTCAGTGTTGTACCCAGTCAGTGTTATAGCCCAGTCAGTGTTGTAGCCCAGTCAGTGTTGTAGCCCTGTCAGTGTTGTAGCCCTGTCAGTGTTGTAGCCCTGTCAGTGTTGTAACCCAGTCAATGTTGTAGCCCAGTCAGTGTTGTAGCCCAGTCAGTGTTGTAGTCCAGTCAGTGTTGTAGCCCAGTCAATGTTGTAGCCCAGTCAGTGTTGTAACCCAGTCAGTGTTGTAACCCTGTCAGTGTTGTACCCAGTCAGTGTTGTAACCCTGTCAGTGTTGTACCCAGTCAATGTTGTAGCCCAGTCAGTGTTGTAGCCCAGACAGTGTTGTAACCCAGTCAATGTTTTAGCCCAGTCGCCCTGTCAGTGTTGTAACCCAGTCAGTGTTGTAACCCAGTCAGTGTTGTAGCCCTGTCAATGTTGTAACCCAGTCAGTGTTGTAACCCAGTCAGTGTTGTAGCCCAGTCAGTGTTGTAACCCAGTCAGTGTTGTAGCCCTGTCAATGTTGTAACCCAGTCAGTGTTGTAGCCCTGTCAGTGTTGTAGTCCAGTCAGTGTTGTAGCCCTGTCAATGTTGTAGCCCAGTTGCCCAGTCAATGTTGTAGCCCAGTCAGTGTTGTAGCCCAGTCAGTGTTGTAACCCAGTCAATGTTGTAGCCCAGTCAGTGTTGTAGCCCAGTCAGTGTTGTAGCCGAGTCAGTGTTGTACCCAGTCAGTGTTATAGCCCAGTCAGTGTTGCAGATTAAAGGGTTACCTGAAGCGTTTACGGTGGATCGATCAGTGTGCTCCAACTACTGGTCAGAGACGGTGACGCAGACATTCCCGGCCCTGGAGGCGCTGCAGCAGGGCAACGCCATCTTCACCTTCCCCAACACCCCCATCAAGTGTGCAGGGGCACCCCAGAAGATCATGTATCTAGCAGACCACTACCTCAGGAAGGTAACACACAAACAACCACACTAATATTCTTTTTCTTTTAAAGATTTTTTTATTTCAAAGTATGTACATTCACTAAATAACCAAACCCCACAAAGTTGAAATTTGTTCTGAGTGGTTTTATTTTAGTTGAAATACAGCTGTTGTAGAATACTCATACATTGCAATATTCAGATTTCATTACATGTTTTTTTTAATGAGCTTGTCATCAATCTATCACAAAACATGTTTTCTTTATTTTATGATGCCAGCACGTAATATCTCAGAGTCTATGTATGACATTAGCAGTTGTTGAATTCAGTATTTGTCTTACCTCTACTGGTAATCAGCAAGTCACATGCAACAACACACCAAATCCTTTGCAGCAGTTGTCTGGAATGTTTCATTGTTTTCCGTAAGCAGGGTTCCAAATTCCTTGACTTAAAGTGCGGATGGCATGGTTACAATATTAATTCCTGGTGCCTTTAGGGTACATTTAGAAATCACATTGTTTAAACAAGAGTAGATCTGCCACATGAGGTTTGCTTTTATGTGAAGCAAGTGGGAATGTACACATCTATCTCATAGGTACACATGGTAAATGATGGACACGCTTTGTGAACAAAACTACAAATAATCTATTCTTGTTTTATCACCAAGTAATCTAGTGGTTGGCACACTTGATTCTAAAAGGCACCTAAACCCTATTATCAGGGCCCTGTGGCACACTTGAAAACCAATGTGCCAAATTAGGAGATAACCTGCTGTGATTTAAATAAGAGTGAGTGAGTGAGTATGGTTTTACGCTGCTTTTAGCAATATTCCAGCAATATCACGGCCGGGGAAACCGTAAAATTGGCTTCACAGATTGTGTGCATGTGGGGAATCAAACCCGGGTCTTCGGCGTATTGAGCCAACGCTTTTACCACTAAGGCTACCCCACCACCCCTTTGAAATTAGAAAGTAGTATACCAGATTTATATATACTAGCTCTGAAGTTAAATTTTAAATCAAACACATTGGCATGTGTATGATTGTGCAACCGAAGATCATAAGTCTGTATAATGTGATTATATAGCCCTATTTGACTTTGGTTAATCAGAATCAGGTATTTACTGTCATGGCAGAATGTCTTGTAAGGGGAGACAGCTTTCTGTTGTATTTAATGTATTCATCCAGTGTTGCCGCCACATGGACTGTTGAGCTTGTGAGTGAGAGTGCTGTATTGCAGATACAGTCAAACACAGTTTGCTCCTTTAAGAGCTTGGTCCCTGCATATTCCTTGTTTAGTTTTGGTTGTGTGGAACCTTATGGGCGGCTATTCAGTCAAAAAATAAAGTTTAAAAAAAGGACAAAAATACGCAATTAAGGTCAAATATTATGAATAAAGAACTAAATGTTACCACTAAAGGTCAAAATACAATATTAATAGTCAAATGTTAAGAAATTCGTCATAAGAAAAGAAAGAACAATGTGTACGAAAGAACGTTTTCAATTAAGAACGTCAGTGAGCACGAAAGCACGTTTTCAATAAAGAACGTCAGTGAGCACGAAAGCACGTTTTCAATAAAGAAGGTCAGTCAGCACGAAAGGACGTTGACAATAAAGAACGCATGATGGCGCTGCAATTTGTAAAACATTCCGAGTTTAATCGGCTTGTTCCGCCGTGTATATGATAACTGCATGCCGAGGTGCACAATGTATTATGTCATTCCTCGTGCACTCACCGTCTGACGTCACACATATATATATATACAGGTATTTATAATGTATAATGAACACATTGTGTATAATCATGTTGCGTAAAGCTTTGTCACCACTTAAGGGCCTTTTCATAAATACAGTATACTGTGTAATCCAACATCTGCCTAACATTAGTAGATGTATTTTGTATACAACCTTCAAAAAACACTCACTTAACGCTAAACTAGGATTCATCTACAGTGATCCAATAACTGTTCATGCTTGGTGCAACACGAGGGTGCTTTGATGCCGAGTTTTGTTTCAGACGCACATTTTCATCTGAAAAGTGAATGTTGTGCGAGAGTTTGTTTTATTTAACAGCTTTTCGGGAAACTGTGTGTGAACAAAATGCTGCCTAATATCTGAACCAAATATATATATATAATATATATACCAAATGGATTTGTATGCATATGTATAACTTACACATTCGTATTGAAAACGTCCTTTTGTGCTCACTGACGTTCTTTATTGAAAACGTTCTTTCGTACATATTCGTTCTTTCTTTTCTTATGACGTCTTTTCGTAACATTTGACTATTAATATTGTATTTTGACCTTTAGTAGTAACATTAAGTTCTTTATTCGTAATATTTGACCTTAATTGCGTATTTTTGTCCTTTTTTTTAACTTTGTATTTTTTGACCGAATGGCCGCCCATAAAACTTTGCATTACTTGGAATATTTAGGTTGGTCCCCCCCACCCACCCTCCCACACACACACACACACACACACACACACATCTATCCATCTTCCCACCCATCCCTATTTTCAAATTAAATGTGATTGAACCACACCCTGATTAATGTTAATATGACTTCATACTGATGTTGTTGCAGGCAGGCAAGAGGGACAACACAAACATCATCTTTAACACCTCCCTCGGGGTCATATTTGGGGTGAAGAAATATGCAGAAAGACTGTTGGATATAGTGAAAGACAGGTACAAGTTACAAACAGTGGGATATCTTGGCATGGTTACAGTTCTCAGCTCTGGTGTGTCATGTCATTGATTGATGTCATGTGGATGGCATGAATCATTGCTCATGATATCAATCACAGGATTGTCTGGTCAATACTTGATTATTTTACCTTATCCTGACTCAAACTAATTGCTTATCTCTCCCTGTTTATGGAAAGGTAGTGGTAACTTCCCAAAATGTGTTCCTAGAAGGCAGAAAAAACAGCTCACCCAAACACACCCCTTGAGCCGGAACCATTCCATGCCGACTAAGTAGTTTGGAAAGTTTCCTGAGCTCTGTTATCTGAGCCATCCTATCAAAATTAACCTTTTCCATAAATAGTTTGGCTCAGATTACATTCTTCTAACTCTATTGAACATATGTAACGATTATTTATTTTACTGTATTCCTGCGCAAGATGATTTACATGTCAGATGTCAATATTTCATTGACTGTAAAACTGTAAACAACTCAGCTATTCTGCAATTAGGTCAGACTGACTTTATGCGAACCGTGCAGTGCCTTTTTACAGATTGGCTTGCATGACTACTTGCACGTAATGTTGCAACGGCATAATCAGATGCCTGAAGTTATACATCAATGTGACCGAATCACTAACTTCAGTAGACCTCAAATGAGTAATTCACACCGAGGCATGAACAGGAGTGCTTATATGACACCCACGGGCTGGAATCCATCGTCTCTTCACCAGAACACCATGTCGGCATAGCGATGATCAACCCTGAAGGACAAGTCATCCGTGACTTTTGATAACTGGGAATTGGTGAAAATACTACTGCTTTTACTGGCCGGCAAAAAACATTGGCAGGGAAACCAACCCTAAACTGGCCAAACTGGCCAAACCTCCTAATACATCCACACACCAAGCAAGATCTTTAAAGACCAAGTTCTACTGCCTTTAGCCACGGCAGCCAGGATGTCAGAAATACATGTGATTTCATCGCCAAGAATCAGCTACGAGGTTAACAGTTTCACATCCCTCCACTCTCATCCTTCCTGGGATCAGAGGACACTGAGGATTTTCATTTATGCCCAATTCGTGCATTACGTATCTACCTACAAAGGACAGGAGCCAGTTGACAATGGCAGAGAAGACTGTTCATTCTGTACTCCTGGAATATTTCAGCAGAAGTCTCCAGAACTACCACTATTTACTTCTGGATGAGAGCAGTCATCCTCAGAGCCTACACAGGCAGCAGGACTGGATCCACCATCAATATCCAAGCCTTACAAGGTGAGAACCATAGCGTCTACCCTAGTGCTTCGGGGAAACTGCTCCATCCCAACGATTATGGGAGGGGGTTTTGGGAGATCAGACTCTGACTTTGGTAATCATTGTCTCAGAGATTTCTCCACTCAAGATGTTTCTGGCATTCATCAATTTGGAACAATAGTAGATACACAACAACTGACAGTGCCTACTAGAAGAGTACTTGTAGAAAGGTCTATCACGCAGACTTGCTGACCGAGAGTCCATGTTCCTCTGTTTTACTACGTAAGTCAGAGCACGAGTGAAAAGGATTGGGTTGAGTTTATGACCCTTTTTTAACACCAGTATCGTTTAAAGTAAACAAAAAAAATATTTCTCTTAGGGAACTTAACTTAATTCACGAAATGTATAAGATTTACTCCTCTCTTTCACAAGAAGGAGGTGGTACCCCGCATGGATTTAAAGGAGAATTAGGAGTATCATGTTTCCAAGGATCTGAATGGGGCACACAGCTGGAACACAACACCTACAGGGATCCAAGCAATTAGTATGAGTCAGGATGAGGTAAAATATCATTTATGATTATCCTCACTCATACTCTATAGCGCCCACACAGCCATCCCCTCTTCCCCAATATTTCGGTTATAAGGTGAGAGAATGAGGGAGTGACAAGTTACCGGCTTGGTCACGTGGTTCGGGTGTGTTTCGCAGCTGCACTCAAGGGGTACATTCAGGTGAGCTGTTTTTGCTGTTCTCTTGGAACACAGTTCAGGAAAGAAAGATAAGCAATTAGTATGAGTCAGGATAAGTATAAATGATATGTTTTACTTTACCTTATGCTACACCTATAGCACTGTGTAGCGTCAGGTAGGTATAAAAACATTACATTTAATCCGAAATGCTCATGTTTTACCTTACCTGACACTTCTCAGTGCTATAGGTGTAGTGTTAGGTAATTTAAAAAACATTGCATTTAATCAGAAATGCTCATATTTACTCTTACAAAATACATATTTACAGGCTGCCCGTCATCTTATAGCTGGAATATTACTGTTTGCTGCGTTAATGTTTGTTGATTTAACTTCACCTTTTTGACGCAAAGTTTGTTATGCTGTGGAAGTGAATTTAATAATATTTGATCAGGTGAGCTAACACATTTCTTTTAAATAGTGAAAGAGATCTTTACATGTTACAAACAAACTTGATATAAGACTTTGTTCAGAAGGCAACAATTGGTCACAATATTTGTATACAGTGTTTGTAGTACTCCAGTGCTTATTGTCAATCACTTGAAGTGTTCTGTCTCACACCCCTCCAGGAACATCCAGGTGAACTACAGGCGGAACCTGGTGGAGGTGCGGCCAGACAAGAAGGAGGCGGTGTTTGTGGACCTGGACAGTCCAGAAGGAAAAACAGAAACATTCCAGGTACATCACATGTCATTCATTCATTTACAATAAACAAAACTACTGTCAATACTTACACTGTAATATTTTAGAATTCAGTTTAAATGACATTTGTGGATATACTTTCAGTACAGCTTCTTGCATGTGACTCCTCCCATGTCTGCCCCTGACCCCCTCCGACAGAGCAGCCTCGTCAACACAGATGGGTACCTGGATGTCAGCAAGGAAACACTGCAGCATGTACAGTACCCAAACATATTCGGCATTGGTGACTGCACAAGTGTGCCAACCTCCAAGACAGCGGCAGCAGCAGGTCAGCTAAATTGGTTCAGGACAAACTTCCGGTTGTTGATAGACACTAGGGAAATTGATAGAACCCATGTGGGTTGTCCTGTAGTAGTAGTTAGGACATGAGTCACAGTATTCATACAATGTGATGTCAGTTTCCTAGTTAGGACGTCTGGCCCAGTAATCATACAATGTGATGTCAGTTTCCTAGTTGGGACGTCTGGCATAGTAATCATACAATGTGATGTCATGTTCCTAGTTGGGATGTCTGGCATAGTAATGATATAATGTGATGTCAGTTTCCTAGTTAGGACGTCTGGCCCAGTAATCATACAATGTGATGTTAGTTTCCTAGTTAGGATGTCTGGCATAGTAATCATATAATGTGATGTCAGTTTCCCTGTTGGGACGTCTGGCCCAGTAATCATACAATGTGATGTCATGTTCCTAGTTGGGATGTCTGGCATAGTAATGATATAATGTGATGTCAGTTTCCTAGTTGGGATGTGTGGCATAGTAATCATATAATGTGATGTCAGTTTCCTAGTTGGGACGTCTGGCCCAGTAATCATACAATGTGATGTCAGTTTCCTAGTTAGGACGTCTGGCCCAGTAATCATACAATGTGATGTCAGTTTCCTAGTTAGGACGTCTGGCCCAGTAATCATACAATGTGCTGTTAGTTTCCTAGTTAGGATGTCTGGCATAGTAATCATATAATGTGATGTCAGTTTCCCTGTTGGGACGTCTAGCCCAGTAATCATACAATGTGATGTCATTTTCCTAGTTGGGACATGTTGCACAGTAATCATATAATGTGATGTCAGTTTCCTAGTTGGGACATGTGGCACAGTAATCATACAATGTGATGTCAGTTTCCTAGTTGGGACGTGTGGCCCAGTAATCATACAATGTGATGTCAGTTTCCTAGTTAGGACGTCTGGCCCAGTAATCATACAATGTGATGTCAGTTTCCTAGTTAGGATGTCTGGCCCAGTAATCATACAATGTGATGTCAGTTTCCTAGTTGGGACGTGTGGCACAGTAATCATACAATGTGATGTCAGTTTCCTAGTTAGGACGTCTGGCCCAGTAATCATACAATGTGATGTCAGTTTCCTAGTTGGGACATGTGGCACAGTAATCATACAATGTGATGTCATGTTCCTAGTTAGGACGTCTGGCCCAGTAATCATACAATGTGATGTTAGTTTCCTAGTTACGATGTCTGGCATAGTAATCATATAATGTGATGTCAGTTTCCCTGTTGGGACGTCTAGCCCAGTAATCATACAATGTGATGTCATTTTCCTAGTTGGGACATGTTGCACAGTAATCATATAATGTGATGTCAGTTTCCTAGTTGGGACGTGTGGCACAGTAATCATACAATGTGATGTCAGTTTCCTAGTTGGGACGTGTGGCCCAGTAATCATACAATGTGATGTCAGTTTCCTAGTTAGGACGTCTGGCCCAGTAATCATACAATGTGATGTCAGTTTCCTAGTTAGGATGTCTGGCCCAGTAATCATACAATGTGATGTCAGTTTCCTAGTTGGGACGTGTGGCACAGTAATCATACAATGTGATGTCAGTTTCCTAGTTGGGATGTCTGGCATAGTATTCATGCAATGTGATGTCAGTTTCCTAGTTGGGACATCTGGCACAGTAATCATACAATGTGATGTCAGTTTCCTAGTTAGGACGTCTGGCCCAGTAATCATACAATGTGATGTCAGTTTCCTAGTTAGGACGTGTGGCACAGTAATCATACAATGTGATGTCAGTTTCCTAGTTGGGATGTGTGGCACAGTAATCATACAAATTGATGTCAGTTTCCTAGTTGGGATGTGTGGCACACGAATCATACAATGTGATGTGAGTTTCCTAGTTGGGACGTGTGGCATAGTAATCATACAATGTGATGTCAGTTTCCTAGTTGGGATGTCTGGCATAGTATTCATGCAATGTGATGTTAGTTTCCTAGTTGGGACATCTGGCACAGTAATCATACAATGTGATGTCAGTTTACTAGTTGGGACGTCTGACAATTCTCTCGATTTTAAAGCAGAAAATATAAGCAGATGTTATAGGAGAGGTTTGGTTATTTTTGTTTCAGCTGCTCAGAGCGGCATTCTCCAAAAAAATCTGCAGGCTGTTATGTCTGGCGGTAAAACCCAGAGTCAGGTCAGTATCAGATGTACAGCCACCAACTCCCTGTCACATGTACCGCCCACTCCCTGACAGATGTACCACCCACTTCCTGACAGATGTACCACCCACTTCCTGACAGATGTACTGCCCACTTCCTGTCAGATGTACCGCCCACTCCCTGTGACATGTACCGCCCACTCCCTGTCAGATGTACCGCCCACTCCCTGTCAGATGTACCGCCCACTCCCTGTCACATGTACCACCCACTCCCTGACAGATGTACCACCCACTCCCTGTCAGATGTACCACCCACTTCCTGTCAGATGTATCACCAACACCCTGACAGATGTACCGCCCACTCCCTGTCAGATGTACCACCCACTTCCTGACAGATGTACCACCCACTCCCTTACAGATGTACCACCCACTCCCTGACAGATGTACCACCCACTCCCTTACATATGTACCACCCACTTCCTGACAGATGTACCATCCACTCCCTGTCAGATGTACCACCCACTTCCTGTCAGATGTACCACCCACTCCCTGACAGATGTACCACCCACTTCCTGACGGATGTACCACCCACTGCCTGTCAGATGTATCACCCACTCCCTGACAGATGTACCGCCCACTCCCTGTCGAATGTACCACCCACTCCCTGACAGATGTACCACCCACTTCCTGACAGATGTACCATCTACTCCCTGACAGATGTACCACCCACTTCCTGACAGATGTACCACCCACTTCCTGACAGATGTACCATCTACTCCCTGACAGATGTACCACCCACTCCCTGACGGATGTACCACCCACTCCCTGTCGAATGTACCACCCACTCCCTGACAGATGTACCACCCACTTCCTGACAGATGTACCACCCACTTCCTGACAGATGTACCATCTACTCCCTGACAGATGTACCACCCACTCCCTGACGGATGTACCACCCACTCCCTGTCACATGTACCGCCCACTCCCTGACAGATGTACCGCCCACTCCCTGACAGATGTACCGCCCACTCCCTGTCACATGTACCGCCCACTCCCTGTCGAATGTACCACCCACTCCCTGACAGATGTACCACCCACTCCCTGACAGATGTACCATCTACTCCCTGACAGATGTACCACCCACTCCCTGACAGATGTACCACCCACTCCCTGTCACATGTACCACCCACTCCCTGACAGATGTACCATCTACTCCCTGACAGATGTACCACCCACTCCCTGACAGATGTACCACCCACTCCCTGACAGATGTACCACCCACTCCCTGTCAGATGTACCACCCACTTCCTGTCAGATGTATCACCAACACCCTGTCACATGTACCGCCCACTCCCTGACAGATGTACCACCCACTCCCTGTCAGATGTACCACCCACTTCCTGTCAGATGTACCGCCCACTCCCTGTCAGATGAACCACCGACACCCTGACAGATGTACCATCTACTCACTGACAGATGTACCATCTACTCCCTGACAGATGTACCATCTACCCTCTGACAGATGTACCACCCACTTCCTGACAGATGTACCCCCCACTCCCTGACAGATGTACCGCCAACACTCTGTCACATGTACCACCCACTCCCTGACGGATGTACCGCCAACACCCTGTCACATTTTCCGCCCACTTCCTGACAGATGTACCGCCAACTCCCTGTCAGATGTATCACCAACACCCTGTCACATGTACCGCCCACTCCCTGACAGATGTACCGCCCACTCCCTGTCACATGAACCGCCCACTCCCTGTCAGATGTACCACCCACTCCCTGTCAGATGTACCACCCACTTCCTGACAGATGTACTGCCCACTTCCTGACAGATGTACCGCCAACTCCCTGTCAGATGTACCGTCCACTCCCTGTCAGATGTATCACAAACACCCTGTCAGATGTACCGTCCACTCCCTGTCAGATGTACCACCCACTTCCTGACAGATGTACCACCCACTTCCTGACAGATGTACCGCCCACTCCCTGTCAGATGTACCGCCCACTCCCTGTCACATGTACCACCCACTTCCTGACAGATGTACCGCCAACTCCCTGTCAGATGTATCACCAACACCCTGTCACATGTATCGCCCACTTCCTGACAGATGTACCGCCCACTCCCTGTCAGATGTACCGCCCACTCCCTGTCACATGTACCGCCCACTTCCTGACAGATTTACTGCCCACTTCCTGACAGATGTACCGCCAACACCCTGTCACATGTACCGCCCACTTTCTGACAGATGTACCGCCCAATCCCTGTCAGATGTACCATCTACTCCCTGTCACATGTACCACCCACTCCCTGTCAGATGTACCGCCCACTCCCTGTCAGATGTACCGCCCACTTCCTGACAGATTTACTGCCCACTTCATGACAGATGTACCGCCAACACCCTGTCACATGTATCATCAACACCCTGTCACATGTACCATATACTCCCTGACAGATGTACCATCTACTCCCTGACAGATGTACTGCCCACTCCCTGACAGATGTACCATCTACTCCCTGACAGATGTACCATCTACTCCCTGACAGATGTACCATCTACTCCCTGACATATGTATCATCTACTCCCTGACAGATGTACCATCTACTCCTTGACAAATGTACCATCTACTCCCTGACAGATGTACCGCCAACACCCTGTCACATGTATCATCAACACCCTGTCACATGTACCATATACTCCCTGACAGATGTACCGTCCACTCCCAGACAGAGTTATATCCTTATGATTTGGTAAATGAAATATCGTGCTGAGGGGGCTTCCGACAATAATCACTGACTCAATAACTTTCCAATAAGACACATTGTAAGATGCCTAAAGATTGTTTCATTTTGCGTCAACATTCCAGCCTGGAGCATGTGTTTCAGTATGATGGCTACACTTCCTGTCCTCTCGTCACTGGCAACAACAAATGTATCCTGGCAGAGTTTGACTTTGCTGGCCAGCCGCTGGAGACGTTCCCCATCGACCAGGGCAAGGAGAGGAGAACCATGTACCACTTGAAGAGAGATGTGATGCCTGAGTTATACTGGAATGTTATGCTCAAGTAAGTCCTGGAGAGACAGGGCTTCTTTAAGGGGCTTCATAGGTCCTTGTGTGTCTCTCTGTAAGTCCTGGAGAGACGGGGCTTCTTTAAGGGGATTCATAGGTCCTTGTGTGTCTCTCTGTAAGTCCTGGAGAGACGGGGTTCCTTTAAGAGGCTTCATAGGTCCTTGTGTGTCTCTCTGTAAGTCCTGGAGAGACGGGGCTTCTTTAAGGGGATTCATAGGTCCTTGTGTGTCTCTCTGTAAGTCCTTGAGAGACGGGGTTTCTTAAAGGGTCTTCATAGGTCCTCATGTGTCTCTCTGTAAGTCCTTGAGAGACGGGGCTTCTATAAGGGGATTCATAGGTCCTTGTGTGTCTCTCTGTAAGTCCTGGAGAGACAGGGCTTCTTTAAGGGGCTTCATAGGTCCTTGTGTGTCTCTCTGTAAGTCCTGGAGAGACGGGGCTTCTTTAAGGGGCTTCATAGATCCTTGTGTGTATCTCTGTAAGTCCTGAGAGACGGGGCTTCTTTAAGGGGCTTCATAGGTCCTTGTGTGTCTCTCTGTAAGTCCTGGAGAGACGGGGCTTCTTTAAGGGGCTTCATAGGTCCTTGTGTGTCTCTCTGTAAGTCCTGAGAGACTGGGCTTCTATAAGGGGCTTCATAGGTCCTCATGTGTCTCTCTGTAAGTCCTGGAGAGACGGGGCTTCTTCTTTAAGGGGCTTCATAGGTCCTTGTGTGTCTCTCTGTAAGTCCTGGAGAGACGGGGTTTCTTTAAGGGGATTCATAGGTCCTTGTGTGTCTCTCTGTAAGTCCTGGAGAGACAGGGTTTCTTTAAGGGGCTTCATAGGTCCTTGTGTGTCTCTCTGTAAGTCCTGGAGAGACAGGGCTTCATGGGTCCTTTCTTTATACTTTATATAAAACAGGAATGTGTGATGGAGTGTTGTGTGTTGCAGGGGAAACTGGAGTGTGTGATGGGGTGTTGTGTTACAGGGGCTACTGGAATGTGTGATGGGGTGTTGCAGGGCTACTGGAATATGTGATGGGGTGATGTGCGTTGCAGGGCTACTGGAATGTGTGATGGGGCGTTGTGTGTTGCAGGGGCTACTGGAATATGTGATTGGGTGTTGTGTGTTACAGGGGCAACTGGAATGTGTGATGGGGTGTTGTGTGTTGCAGGGGCAACTGGAATGTGTGATGGGGTGTTGTGTGTTGCAGGGGCAACTGGAATGTGTGATGGGGTGATGTGTGTTGCAGGGGCAAGTGGAATGTGTGATGGGGCGTTGTGTGTTGCAGGGGCAACTGGAATGTGTGATGGGGTGTTGTGTTACAGGGGCTACTGGAATGTGTGATGGGGTGATGTGTGTTGCAGGGGCTACTGGAATGTGTGATGGGGCGTTGTGTGTTACAGGGGCTACTGGAATGTGTGATGGGGTGTTGTGTGTTACAGGGGCTACTGGAATGTGTGATGGGGTGTTGTGTGTTACAGGGGCTACTGGAATGTGTGATGGGGTGATGTGTGTTGCAGAGGCTACTGGAATGTGTGATGGGGCATTGTGTGTTGCAGGGCTACTGGAATGTGTGATGGGGTGTTGTGTGTTACAGGGGCTACTGGAATGTGTGATGGGGTGATGTGTGTTGCAGGGGCTACTGGAATGTGTGATGGGGCGTTGTGTGTTACAGGGGCTACTGGAATGTGTGATGGGGTGTTGTGTGTTGCAGGGGCTACTGGAATGTGTGATGGGGTGATGTGTGTTGCAGGGGCTACTGGAATATGTGATGGGGCGTTGTGTGTTGCAGGGGCTACTGGAATGTGTGATGGGGTGTTGTGTGTTGCAGGGGCAACTGGAATATGTGATGGGGTGTTGTGTGTTGCAGGGGCAACTGGAATGTGTGATGGGGTGTTGTGTGTTGCAGGGGCAACTGGAATATGTGATGGGGCATTGTGTGTTGCAGGGGCTACTTGAATATGTGATGGGGTGTTGTGTGTTGCAGGGGCTACTGGAATATGTGATGGGGTGTTGTGTGTTGCAGGGGCTACTGGAATGTGTGATGGGGTGTTGTGTGTTGCAGGGGCTACTGGAATGTGTGATGGGGTGATGTGTGTTGCAGGGGCTACTGGAATGTGTGATGGGGTGTTGCAGGGCTACTGGAATATGTGATGGGGTGATGTGCGTTGCAGGGCTACTGGAATGTGTGATGGGGCGTTGTGTGTTGCAGGGGCAACTGGAATATGTGATGGGGTGTTGCAGGGGCTACTGGAATGTGTGATGGGGTGTTGCAGGGCAACTGGAATATGTGATGGGGTGATGTGCGTTGCAGGGCTACTGGAATGTGTGATGGGGTGATGTGTGTTGCAGGGGCTACTGGAACGTGTGATGGGGTGATGTGTGTTGCAGGGGAAACTGGAGTGTGTGATGGGGTGTTGTGTGTTGCAGGGGCTACTGGAATGTGTGATGGGGTGATGTGTGTTGCAGGGCTACTGGAATGTGTGATGGGGTGTTGTGTGTTACAGGGGTTACTGGAATGTGTGATGGGGTGTTGTGTGTTGCAGGGTCTACTGGAATATGTGATGGGGTGATGTGTGTTGCAGGGTTACTGGAATATGTGATGGTGCGTTGTGTGTTGCAGGGGCTACTGGAATGTGTGATGGGGCGTTGTGTGTTGCAGGGGCTACTGGAATATGTGATGGGGTGTTGTGTTACAGGGGCTACTGGAATGTGTGATGGGGTGTTGTGTGTTGCAGGGGCTACTGGAATGTGTGATGGGGTGATGTGTGTTGCAGGGGCTACTGGAATGTGTGATGGGGCGTTGTGTGTTATAGGGGCTACTGGAATGTGTGATGGGGCGTTGTGTGTTGCAGGGGCTACTGGAATATGTGATGGGGTGTTGTGTGTTGCAGGGGCTACTGGAATGGTCCAGCCTTGACTCGGAAGCTGTTGCACCTGGGGATGTCTAAGTAGAGGAAGAGAGCTTGCCAACGGTTCCCAGACAAACACGGGATGCAGAAGCTCTGCGTGGTGGAACATGTGGCTGGAGTGTGTGGGGTGGCAGCTGTAGCTGTCTGGATCAACTTCAGCAAACATCTGTGATACATACACTTTCATATTTGATGCACAGATGAATAGATGGTTTTACTTTTAAGACGAGTGTGATTATCAAATTTGAGAATACTTGTAAGTCATCAATACATCATATATTGTTTATGTTAAGCAGTGATAGTGGTTTCAGAAAGGCTTATTTTAGAAAGTGCATACTGCATCTGTCATTGTTGTGAGGGGTCATGACCCACAGCCTTCTGATTTCATTCCTACAATACTCCCGAGTTTCCTGACGAACTGTCCCCTGTTCACGGATCTAATCAGGAAGGTCTATGATGTGAACCAGGATATGCCGAACTAGAACACGTTGTCCTGCAGCACTCACCGAGGGCACTTATACAACTTAGTCATCTTCCCTAGGCAAGGGAGTTAACTGACTGTAAAAGTCATTGCCGAACTAGGCTGAAATTATGGAGTTATATTCTGGCTGGACTAACGAGTCTATGCATAGTCCAATCAAAATCACGACCGATAGCAGGATTTGCAAAGCATGTGTACCAACAACTCAGCGTCCACAGATAGTTTCCAAATCTTTTCATGTTATTAATCAAGGTGCTCACGTGATTTGATGCACCTTGCGAAGTAAGACCTGTTTTAATACAATATAGATTTTGATTATCAATCAAGGGGTCTTGACTGGGTGTCGCCTTTTTGTTTGAACCAAAGGCATACCTTAATCTCATCCAGGTGATATCTCCAACGAGGCATACCTTGATCCCTTACAAGTGATATCTCCTAGGAGGCATACTTTGATCTCATCCAAGTGATATCTTCAAGGAGGCATACCTTGATCTCATCCAAGTGATATCTCCTAGGAGGCATACCTTGATCTCATCCAAGTGATATCTCCTAGGAGGTAAAAGGTACTGACTGCACCTGCACAGGTATATGATGTACTGTGAGTACACCTGCTGCACAGGTTTACGATGTACTGACTACACCTGCACAGGTTTATGATGTACTGTGTGTACACCTGCTGCACAGGTTTACGATGTACTGACTACACCTGCACAGGTATATGATGTACTGTCAGTACACCTGCTGCACAGGTAAGAGGTACTGACTTCACCTGCACAGGTATACGATGTACTGACTACACCTGCACAGGTATACGATGTACTGACTACACCTGCTTCACAGGTATACAATGTACTGACAACACCTGCACAGGTTTACAATGTACTGACAACACCTGCACAGGTTTACAATGTACTGACTACACCTGCACAGGTTTACAATGTACTGACTACACCTGCACAGGTTTACGATGTACTGAGTACACCGGCTGCACAGGTAAGAGGTACTGACTACACCTGCAGGGGTTTACGATGTACTGACTACACCTGCACAGGTATATGATGTACTGTGAGTACACCTGCTGCACAGGTAAGAGGTACTGACTACACCTGCAGGGGTTTACGATGTACTGACTACACCTGCAGGGGTTTACGAAGTAATGACTACACCGTCACAGGTTTACGATGTACTGACTACACCTGCACAGGTTTACAATGTACTGACTACACCTGCAGGGGTTTACGATGTACTGACTACACCTGCAGGGGTTTACGATGTACTGACTACACCTGCACAGGTTTACAATGTACTGACTACACCTGCTCAGGTTTACGATGTACACTGAGTAACGCTTGCACAGTACTGAGTACACTTACAGAGAGGTATTTGGTGTACTGTGAGTACACCTGCAAAGGTGTAAGATCTACTGCATGTACACCTTCCAGCTATTACATTCCCTGACAGTCCGTTGTTGTGAAACCTGTGCCTCCGCCAGTGTTGTAGGGGGGTGATGTGTATATATAAACAGTTGTGTTTCCTCATATTTCTCCTTGTGTTGGACTGTGTGTGAAACTATTGTAGGAACAGTTTCCAATGTACAGTTCATCCTTGTCACAAGGTATTTACCATTTTTTCTTGTGTATAGTGTGCATCCTCGGGGGTTTCGAGATTTGGGGGAAAAAATTGCTATTTGATATATTATATCAAAAACTACATCTGATAACTGGATAGCGATTGCTGTAAATAATGGCAAGTTGGTGTGATCTGCCCATCAGTTGACACATGATTTTGCCCAAAATAATGTGAATAGTGAACAATTTTTTTTAATAAAATTTATTAAATAGATAAAAAATAGACCAGATATGCAATGAACACATTTTATAACCAGAATATAATAACAGAATTAACATGCTATTTCTGCTCTTATGTGCTCACGGCAATGTCTGGCATTTGGAAAAATATTCAAAATCTATTGTCTGTGTATTACCAGTATGCGAACCCCTCTCTATACAGCTGTAGTGTTTGGGGGAAATAGTTGCACACTGTACACGAGGACATTCTCTTCTTCCTGGTTTCTGGAGTTCTACTTCGTCCACTTGAATTATTCCAAACATTTTCATTCCCAACAGCTTGTTAGAACCGTGATGTGAAGTAAAATATAATATTGTACACAGTAGACATTATCATCAATTAAACTAACAACTGGAATCTATGTCTGCAGTGGTCACTGTAAGGGTTGTGTTTTATGTTTTAGTTTTTAACAAGGACCACATCTCGCTCCCCTGGGTACAGGCGATCTTTGTTAGGTAGTGCTCCACATGTGTGTGCTTATGTACCTACATTTGTGCAGGAATGTATGCTTACTGTCAATGGCATGTCAGATTTTTTCAACATACCGGTACTGGGAGGATACACCAGTACTGAGGGTAGCCTTCCATTTGTCAGACAGCTTATACCAGGATTAGTCAAGGTTGGTTAGTCAAGCAATAGTTCCCTGTTTACCTTTCATTAAAGTGGAACAGACCAGAAAACACACATTTTCAGGAATTTACAGGATAGGTTTATCACTCACTTGTAATCATTAAATCATACCAGAAATCACACAAGTTTGAAGTATTCAACAGAAGTCACATATTTTGAATTATTTAACATGATATAATATTATCACATTATTAGAACGACACTATATACAAAAAATACACTAAACACGTGTAATATCACACTTTTTGAAGTATTTACCAGAAATTGCATAAATTTGAATTCTATACAGTATATTAGTTCATTACATTATTGCAAAAACACTATAAACACAACACACACTGATCACGGTTCAGTACTATGTCTGCCTTCATCCCAGCTTCAGCAAATGTCCTACAGCATCCAAGAATTCAAGAGGTGTCTTCTGCCCACTGACCAGCTTCCCTTTGATTCTCTGTAGACCTTCCTGGGAGGGGGAGCAGCACCAAAGTCTATCTGTCAGCTTGACACCTTCCAGCTTCTCATTGCCCTGAATCCAGTCCTCAAATCTGTAGAGGTTGGGATGTTGATGTGGAACAGTGCGCTTGAAAACCCTCCAGGTTGTTGTTTGTCCCCGGTCCTACTGTGTGGTGATGATTCCATAGGGGGAGTCTGGTCGTCAGTCCATGTTATTGTGGAATTCTTGGGACCTTGCCACCCCAGGTGTCACATCCATCGCCTCCAGCACGGAAGAGGAAGAAGGGGACTTCCAGCTGCTCTTTGTATCCAACTCTGCAGCATGGGATCTTCCTGGTACTGGACAGTTAAGCCAAGGTCTTGAGTCTTCCTCCATATAGCCTGGGTGTACTGGAAGAAACACCCCTTGATGTCTGCTGCGTGGAATTCACTTTGGATTGCTATATGGCCGCGCCGCCATCTCAAAGTCTGTCTGTACGGTAGCTGGTGAGAAGGGTTGGTTGAGAGTCTGCTGTACCTCTGTTTTCAGCAAAGTGAAAGTCTGGAGTATTTCGACTGTTTTCGGTTGGGCAGCAGGGCGAAGACAAGAGGTCACATGGTGTATCTACTGTGGGTATGTACAGCTTGTTCCACAGTGAGGACAGCAGGAAAACATACCATCCATGTAGACCGTACCTGCTTCAGCAAAACACTTCAGTTTCTCATCATTGAAAACATCAGGATCTTGTCTTCTTCACCATCTGCACAGAGGAGGAATCTTCTGCTAACCCTGGTTGCGGTCCACAGCCCCTCAAGATGAACATCAGCTCTGGTCTGTGGCAGGACAAGGATTGTTGTACCGCAACGTTGACAGAGGAAACTCTTTAAACTGGGGAAGGAATATGTAGAACCTCTGGCGGCCTACTTTGTAGATAGCCTGGACAGGTGCTGATTCTTCCCTTCTACTGACAAACTTGACAGGAGTCCAATCTCTAACTTGATGGCAATGGTCTGAGACATCTTTAAGGAAGTCCCCAACAGTGGAACACTTCCCTTGGCACGACCTGTTGATACATCTCTAGTGTGTGTTGTGGCCTCTGGTTCGATTCTTGGAGTAGGTGAACCCATAAAGGAATAGGGGAATGGGTTCCCTCTCTCAGAGTCAATGTACTCGGCATATATACCAGCAATGGTGGCGATACCTTACTGACTTAGACTGCCAGTGATACAGTATGGTACCTTCTGTACATGGGAGATTATACTCAGGTTTTGGAGAGGTTTAATGTGTTCATATCCTACCTAACATTGTATTTCATGAAAATAATGCAAAACAAGGTTTAAAGGGTTTTTTCATCTTCTGAGTTTTCAATATTCTACATAATTGAAAAAAAACTACTCTAATACTGCTAAAACACATGCAACCCGACACGGATACAACACAACTTATAAATGCAATAATAATCAAGTTAATTTGTATCACTTATAGATTTGGAGTAGGTAAGACCAGGTAGTTAAACTGGTCCCACTTGTCTGACAATTTTGAGTGAACCATACTAGGCCACTTCTTTACTTCAAACACAATGCCGAAACTGCTTGAATTTTCCCATTTTGCCACCCTTACAGCACTTTGTTAGGACTGGGAGATGATTTACGTTTGCTGTTGACATTAGATTAGATTTCACTGCTTTCCTGCCCTTGGTTTCACACTTGTTTGAGGCATTTGTAAAACTGGCTACTACCATAGCAACTTTCCTGTGATGGATTGTTCATATTTGCTTTGTTAGACATGCCACAGTATGTTTGTAAAGTGTCTGCCTTCTTGTCAGCTTTGCATTGTGCAACTATATATAAGGAAAACGTTTAAGCACAGGTATGCTTATCCTTGATTCATTATCGTAACACAATCTTCCTTTGACATTTACCAAAAATGACATTTGATGGTTTCACTAAAATCCTTGCTAAATTATGGGACAGTAAAATAACTGAAGCCTAATGACATGAGATACAAGCATGTGTGAACAGTCACAGCCTGTGGTATGTGCAACCGTTTTGAACTGCTTTGATTATTTTATTTTGTTCAATATTGTTTTTAAAATTTAACCTTTAGCTGTGTATGATTGAGTGTCTTTGAATAATTTTGTAGTATAAAAGACAGCTAGATCCCAACCCTGTATCCCTAGGGCTAATTTGTGAGATAAATATGTGCCAACATGGATACCCTGCACATCTGTTCAGCATTAAAGAAGATAAAATCCACAGATTCTTGTTTTACTATGTATTCAACGATTGGTTTGGTATGGTATTTGATGTTTGGGTCAACTTGGACCATTAAAGGTATGTTTGTGCCCATCATATCAAATGCCTTTAAGCAAAAGCAACGTGAGCTGTGAAAATGTGATGACTAACCAGTCGGCTTCATGATCATTATTATTTAACACTGCAAGCAAACATTATTCCATTTCTGTAAAGTAAGTACTCTTCTCTTCCGAAACCTCGTCAAGCCAGATATAAACAACAAACACACAATGTGGCTTCCCCTGTGGCAGATGCCGAGGCATTTACTGTTAAAAAAGAAGGACATTTCAATGCAAACACCAGTAGCGTCACTAGCCTTGATCCACATGATCTCAGAACCCACGCCAGTCACTGTGACGACATTTGTCTTGCAGCAAGACCGCCAACACCTGACAACAGAAAATGTTCATAACCATAATGCACAGGACATAAACATAAAATAAACAGACCGCACTATAACGGCGACACCACAGGAGAGATTAAACTACCCGGGCTTTACAATTCCTATATATACCCCCTCACGGTTGCGCCCTCTACCGTGAATAACCTCCCTTTATATCTGGCTTTACCTTCAAGAGAAATCAAGAGAAATCAATTTCAGTCTAATTCACTCTGTTCAACCCAAAGAGATTTCATTTCTCTTCCAAAACCTCGTCAAGCCAGATATAAACAACAAACACACATGTGGCTTCCCCTGTGGCACGCACACCGAGGCATTTACTCTGCATGAGAAACAAAGAAAGGGATTACAGGAAAACAACCTATATTACAAATCCAATGATTTGGACACACTTAATCTGGCTTTAACACTTTCTCTGATATACCCGTATTTGGCATTCTCGCTCTTCCAGCGCCCGTGTCTCTTAAAAAGACGGCCAGGTAACCCCATTGTTTGCTGCCGCTGTAGCACCACCTGACCTCAAACTGTGGAGGCCATACCTTGACACATCACTGACAAAAGGTGACAAAGTTACACGAAATATTTCACGGAGTCTTGTATAAGTCAGTGGCTTGTTTTCTTTCCTCAGAACATATTTACCATTAACAGTACTTAGTGCTCTGAACACATTCCTCAGAATCCTCGGCAATCTCTGCCATCTTTTAATAACGCTGCAAGTGCATAACAGTGAATCGGATACACCTATGACTACCCATGCACCATCTCGATACACGTCCGTCTTGGACTGTTCAATAAATATAGACATATAATGTTCACAAAACATATCTGAACGTGCAATAATTCAACTGATCGAAGAAAAGCAAAAGCAACTAAAATCATTGCAGCAACTCTGCTGTCTTTTAAACATTTCTCACATTCTAGAGACGATACCATAAACTAAGTTGCGATATTGTTATCGGTTCCATTTTGTTTACTGGTTTAGCTAATCTCCGCTTACAAGCCTCCAATACATTTCGTACCAGTGTATTATCTGTGGGACTGCGTAACCATACATGAGCATATCGAATGCTGTAAAAAGCTGTTTTGACAGGAGAAATACTTTCACAACTTTGTATTAAAGATAACAAATAAAGTGCGCAGTGCATAGGAGCAATTGGCAATAAAATCGGCAAACCATGAGAATCTGCCCAATCAGAAAATCTCGTGAATCCTAAGTTGTATGATCTCACTGTAGTGGCTGATCTAGCCTCATTTAATAATATGCTCAAACCTTGTACATTCGGTTTTAAACTTTCTGGGAGGGTAGATATAACATCATGATATACACTGTCTAACATCTGAAACAGAAGAAAGCATTTCAATAACTGAAATCGATTTTCAACGCTAACATTGAAAATTTTAAATCTGTTTCACCAAACTGACCTCCCCCAATACGACTGGGAACATAAGCTTCTTTGCAAGACGACAAATAAACAAAGTCTCTTACTTCTTTGAAAAATGTACCTTGCATAGCAAATGCCAGAAACTTGCCGAGTACCACTGAGGTACAACCAACGTACCCTTTGCTCTGTATTTGCGCATATGGCACAACACACGAGAGACCAGATACACTGGTGGTACTATCCAGTTCACCTCATTACTCCAATCTGAAGTAAAAGTATCCACATTCTCAGAATTAGGGTTCCAGTACCTAGAATCGAAACGATTGATCTTGTAGTAAGAAGCAAAACGATCTATTGAATGTGGTCCACATGTTTCATCGAGTACATGAAAAACAGTCTGCAACTGCCCAGTCATCTCTATCAGTGAGCTTGCTCAGAACATCTGCTTGATCATTTTGTTCTCGGGGAATCCAGTCTACTATCAAACGTATACAGGATCTCAAACACAACTGCCAGATAATCAATGCAAGATTTTGTAAATGTGTCTTCATGCTACCCTTTTTAATAATAACACATACATTGGTATTATCCGTAAACCACTTGACTGAGTGAGAACCAAGAAAAGACAGAAAACTTGTAAGTACCATAGATACAGCCTTCAACTCCCGCCATGTTGAACTTTGATTCATTTCGCTTTCGGACCACTGACCATGTGCCAACCTTCCACCAAATTGTACACAGTAGCCACCGTAACCTACACCACTTGCATTGCTATAAACAACCCTGGTAGGGGAACTGTCAGAACACAACGATCGTGACTTGAAATGTTGAATATTGTCCCGCCAGAACACTAACTGTTCCTTACTTTGAGCTGACAAAACAATCCAGCCATTCCACGAGTTAGCCGTCAGACAATCTATACTGAGTGAGTGAGTCATAAGTTGACTAATTGAACCAATAACTGACTTTTCAACTTTAGGCACAAATCCAGAACTTATGAGGTCATCCTTAACCCTATCTGATACAACAGCACAAGTTTACATAGAATCTTCAACAATAATTCCATCGTCAAATAACATAACGTTCTTGTAACAGAGGTAACGCCACCATTTTACCAATTGTCGGGTTACCTTTGTTAAGACATAGGGCGCAGATGACAAACAAAATGGTAAAACCACAAACTTGTAATACCTCCTGCTCCATGGCCAAACCCATGAAAAGCCGAGAAAAGTTGTATGAGGAGTGTTATAGTGCAAACCATTTCAATACTTTTACTTAAATAGTGCAAACCATTTCAATACTTTTATATTCTGTCACGTTATTATCAACATGTACCCTTTCGACTTATTCCAAACCATCAACAATAAACATGGCTGCTGTCGTCTAAACTTCACCCCTGAGTTTTGTCTTCCGTCATCACCCTGAGCTACCATCCGAGGGCCGAAACGTACGCCCTTGGACAGATGATGGAGAATTATCCGGGTAGCGTGAGTTTGCTGTGACTCACGCACGATCCCCCTACCCTAACTCGCAGCAAAGCAAATGGTGGTTCAGAGTTGATGGGAGACAAAAGCAGCGTCAAGCCAGCCGCCATCTTGACGGGAAAACGAAGAAGATGACAGACAGCACCCCAGCCAACCCGATCGTCAGCAACAGACAGCAGCCCAGCCTACCCCATCGTCAGCAACGAACAGCAGCCCAGCCTATCCGAACGTCAGCAACATCGACATCCAGTCAATATTGTGACAATATTTTTGAACCTTCGTTCCAACTTTCAACATGTACTGTGCTAAAACGTATTCTCACGGACATTCTTGTTCATATAAGGTATGTTATGTAATCAAGTCATTATTGTTTCGTTGTCTTAAAATTTTGTCATGTTTATCTATAATGAGTATGTATTGCAATCTATGTATTGTTATCAGAGGTACATCCTTATCAGATTGAGTTTTTGAAATCGGCTAGGCTCTTACTCTATTCATGTCCTACACCCTACGCTTGTACGCATTTAGTGCAGATCCACGATATCTGCGGGTTCCCAGTCGTCCTATACAAATCAGACTCCCGGTTTCAAGGATTTTTCTTTTAATTTGTGGCCCTGTAACCATTACCATAGACACTAGCTTTCAAAAAGTTATCCAATACCCTACAATTTCCTGCTTATATCTTGATTTATTCCTTTTTGAGTATGTAAGCACTGAAATTATTAGTACTCTTTGTGAAAACTGATAAAATCGATGTAGTAGCAGCGTTTGTAGAAGTATAATAAGTCAGGGAGCCTCGTTGCTTACCAAGCTTATTCAGTGGAGATTGTGTATACAGTCTATATCCTACTTCTTCGTTTTGCCAACGTGATTTTGTGCTTAATTATGATACCGGCGAAAATTATGTATATTCGTGCGATCAACCGTAAATGGTCTCTGGTAAAACAAAATACGATTCGTTCAAATATCTTCGAGACAATTTCACATGATTGAATCTTTCATTACATTCCAGTTTAGACTTTTGAAGTTGGTTAGGTTTTGCATACACATTCTACTTTTTAGCGCAGATCACACTTCACATCTGCTAGCCTTGTCGAGTCTAGGCTCACAATATAAGACTCCCAATTTCAAAGATCTTACTGTTATCATGAAAATATTACTTTCATATGCAAACGACAACGCTTTACGCACATTATGTTTTTGTCCTCACGTCATCAGTCTACTTTACTTCAACAATGTTTATTGTCTGTTTCAGTGTGATACCTGTGATCTAGCAGTCTGGTATTCCGACTGCAAGGGCGACCGCGGGCAGGATGTGCCGCTCGGTGGAAACTCTTCCAGTGTTCCTTGTGTATGAGCCGGAATCTCCGCTCACATGTATTTTGTGTGTACGAGCCGGCACCTCCGCTCAACTTGTTAATGTTATGTATAGTTGTTTCACCGATATTGACAATGTTGTTATTCACTTATTTACTTTTACACGCCTGTATATCTTATTCAATGTCATTTCATTCATCTCAGTCAAGTGTAGTGCATGAAGCAACTACTTGTCAACCTGTCGATGTCATTTGCATTGATCTGTACTTGTACTTGTACTTCATATTGTCATTATTTTTAAAAAGCTTTTGAGGACAAAAGCTCCACGACGTTCAGGGGTATTGTTATAGCGCAAACCATTTCAATACTTTTACTTAAATAGTGCAAACCATTTCAATACTTTTATTTTACATTTCATTTATCTAAATACCTAACTGGTTCAATATGTTTCCAAGTGCACCGAAATTCTATGCCCTTTGTCTGTTTAATATATTCAGCAAACATTCGGCGTATCCCCTCTTATAATAAGCCCCTCCGGGCAGGACCCTTAATCTCCAGCGCTATCTATAAATTTTAATTAACACCTCCTAACGTCGCCGGATCTTACGGATATACATACATACACGTGGGACAATGACCTTGCCACACGTTATGTAATACCTCGCTCTACAAAACCCGACTGACATGGTCAGTCAGGGAGACAGCCTGGAGACAGCCAGAAGATCGACTAGTGTAAGTGACAGAACGGTTCTCCCACCCAGGAAGATTGGCCACTCGGTCCCGGTGTGCGTTCTGTCACGTTATTATCAACATGTACCCTTTCGACTTATTCCAAACCATCAACAATAAACATGGCTGCTGTCGTCTAAACTTCACCCCTGAGTTTTGTCTTCCGTCATCACCCTGAGCTACCATCCGAGGGCCGAAACGTACGCCCTTGGACAGGAGTATGCATTTCAATATGATGGTACGCGGAATGTATATCGTATTTAACTAACCAATCACCAGCTTTGATATACATAAGAGTGGTTTTCCAGTCTTCGTATTTGACTGAAAGTTTAAACACATGCTTGTTCACCACAGACAAATCAAGAATTAATCTTTTCTTTCCAGAAGATGCAATAGACACCGACAACGGATTAACAACACGAGGCCTCTCCTCACATTCCTCCACTAAATTTTTCCGCACAAGATCTGTAATAGCTTCACAAACATCAGAATGCCGCAACGCCGACATGTTTTTTAATTCCATATGTGTCTGAGTAGAATAAAATGGTATCTTGTATCCACTTACAATAACATCAATCACAAATTGAGTAGAACCAGTGTCACGCCAAAACTGTATGCAGCGTCTGAGACGACCCCTCACTAAGATTTCAGCATTTGCACGCTCATATTCATAATAATCGTTTGTAAGTTCAACTTTACCTTGTTTACTCTGAGACTGTGGTCTTGCTTCCCGGTCGACGTGTCGGCGTGACTGTTGAGTTGACATACGGGCAGTCTCGTCTCCAGTAGCTGAGTTCTCCGCACGCAAAACACGTGCCGTTTCTAAGTCTCGGGCGAAAAGGACGTCCTTGAGATGGTCCCGCTGGATAAGCCCCGCCCCCAACTGTAGCCTGCGTGACAGTCGCTGTCGGTCTAGACAACTTAAATGGGGTATATCTTGACGATTTTGATTTCTTTTTGTCAATTTTCTTGATAGCTCTGGAAATACGCCGATCATCGCCAGAATCATCATCAAGATCATTACAGTCATATTGGCGAACAGTCTCCCAGCCTCCATCTGATGAGTCGGCAAGCTTAATCAGCTTATTCCTACGCTCAATGCACGAAACCTCCGCGCAAAGTAAATCTTGCAAATAGTCCAATTTTAAGTAAGAAATAGCAAATTTCATTTGTTTCAGATTTTCAAGGGTCTCTGAATTGAAATTATACTGGAGCCGGTGCCCTTCCCGTTTACATACGAAATCTTTTTCAGTTTTGAGTTAATTTAATTTCTGCCGCTGTTCGAGCCACGTTATCTTGTAAATTAACAAGCTTGTCTTCAACAGACCTGTCAACTTCTTCTCGACATGTAGATAACTGTTGTAGAATATTATCAAGTTTCTTGTTTATATTTTCAGATAGCTCCATAACAAAATGGCGATAGAACACGAGGCAAAGTTAATAACGATATAAACAGACCGCACTATAACGGCGACACCACAGGAGAGATTAAACTACCCGGACTTTACAATCCCTATATATACCCCGTCACGGTTGTGCCCTCTACCGTGAATAACCTCCCTTTATATCTGGCTTTACCTTCAAGAGAAATCAATTTCAGTCTAATTCACTCTGTTCAACCCAATGAGATTTTAATTTCCTTGATAAAGCAGATCTGACAACAACAAAAAGTGTTAAAATGGCTTAAAAGTCAATGCACAATGTATGAATATATTGGTCTTTATCATTTTTTCTGAAGCAGGCACCAAGTCCCATAAAAGGGGGCCCCAAAAGTGTAATTTGTAACTTTGCACTGCTTATCTTAGTGTGATATGATTGTGACCTAGGCATTCAATTTAAATATGTTTCACTGTCTTGGCGGTACAAACAGGGGAGACCTCTTTATCAATATCAATGGCACTGTGGGAAGCATTTAACCCCCATATTTTGTAAGCCATATTTCACAAGATGTTCTATCTATTTCCATGCAGCCCAGTGTGGATTGTCCACATATCATGGGTATAATATACTAAAAGATGCATCCAGCTTTAATGTTTCATTTACATTGTCTCTTCCTGAACCGTTGATAGTGGATTCAATTGCTGCCATTGATCAGTCGGTTACTATAACTGTCTCATGATCATATTCCTTGACCCTCTTAGAGCTTGAAGACTCAGCTGTAAGGTCAGCTGCAAATACTGCGAGGAGGTCATTCAGCCTAAATACACTTGAGATGGAAAAGTCTGAGATCCAACCCAAGCATGGTGAGCTATGTCCGAATCCTTTGAGGCATCAGTAAACGTGTGTGTGTGAATTTGACATTATGCTCAGTCCGAAAATCCTGAGATACGGTTTCATGGGGATTGCCGAAAAGTCGGGCCGGGCCAATGTTATTATTGGCTAATTACTCCATTATCGACGACCATACCTACATATTATTAATGCACCAGACACGCGTAACATTAATGAACAATCACAAACCAGAAACGTGCAGCATTATTAAGTTGTTGCGAGTAAATCGCTTGTGTTTACATGTAAAATAGCAGTTGTTAAACGAAATAGGATTTGAAACGCATCAAATACTTCAAACTATCGTGATACAAATTTCCATCTGTCGGCATAGCTTTTACATCTATAGAATAGTACTATATCTAAGTTATACCACTTTGTTATGTCCCTGTCCATGTACTTAAAACAGACACGTTGGTTAGAGTGAAGCTCTTCTCCCCATAGATTCAACAGTCTCACTGTCCATGTATTTAAAGCAGACACGTTGGTTAGAGTGAAGCTCTTCTCCCCATAGATTCAACAGTCTCACTGTCCATGTATTTAAAGCAGACACGTTGGTTAGAGTGAAGCTCTTCTCCCCATAGATTCAACAGTCTCACTGTCCATGTATTTAAAGCAGACACGTTGGTTAGAGTGAAGCTCTTCTCACCATAGACTCAACAGTCTCACTGTCCATGTATTTAAAGCAGACACGTTGGTTAGAGTGAAGCTCTTCTCACCATAGACTCAACAGTCTCACTGTCCATGTATTTAAAGCAGACACGTTGGTTAGAGTGAAGCTCTTCTCCCCATAGACTCAACAGTCTCACTGTCCATGTATTTAAAGCAGACACGTTGGTTAGAGTGAAGCTCTTCTCCCCATAGACTCAACAGTCTCACTGTCCATGTATTTAAAGCAGACACGTTGGTTAGAGTGAAGCTCTTCTCCCCATAGACTCAACAGTCTCACTGTCCATGTACTTAAAGCAGACACGTTGGTAAGAGTGAAGCTCTTCTCCCCATAGACTCAACAGTCTCACTGTCCATGTACTTAAAGCAGACACGTTGGTTAGAGTGAAGCTCTTCTCACCATAGACTCAACAGTCTCACTGTCCATGTACTTAAAGCAGACACGTTGGTTAGAGTGAAGCTCTTCTCCCCATAGACTCAACAGTCTCAGTGTCCATGTATTTAAAGCAGACACGTTGGTTAGAGTGAAGCTATTCTCCCCATAGACTCAACAGTCTCACTGTCCATGTATTTAAAGCAGACACGTTGGTTAGAGTGAAGCTCTTCTCACCATAGACTCAACAGTCTCAGTGTCCATGTATTTAAAGCAGACACGTTGGTTAGAGTGAAGCTCTTCTCACCATAGACTCAACAGTCTCACTGTCCATGTATTTAAAGCAGACACGTTGGTTAGAGTGAAGCTATTCTCCCCATAGACTCAACAGTCTCACTGTCCATGTATTTAAAGCAGACACGTTGGTTAGAGTGAAGCTCTTCTACCCATAGACTCAACAGTCTCACAGTCCACGTATTTAAAGCAGACACGTTGGTTAGAGTGAAGCTCTTCTACCCATAGACTCAACAGTCTCACTGTCCATGTATTTAAAGCAGACACGTTGGTTAGAGTGAAGCTCTTCTCCCCATAGACTCAACAGTCTCACTGTCCATGTATTTAAAGCAGACACGTTGGTTAGAGTGAAGCTCTTCTCCCCATAGACTCAACAGTCTCACTGTCCATGTATTTAAAGCAGACACGTTGGTTAGAGTGAAGCTCTTCTACCCATAGACTCAACAGTCTCACTGTCCATGTACTTAAAGCAGACACGTTGGTTAGAGTGAAGCTCTTCTCCCCATAGACTCAACAGTCTCACTGTCCATGTATTTAAAGCAGACACGTTGGTTAGAGTGAAGCTCTTCTCCCCATACATAGACTCAACAGTCTCACTGTCCATGTATTTAAAGCAGACACGTTGGTTAGAGTGAAGCTCTTCTCCCCATAGACTCAACAGTCTCACTGTCCATGTATTTAAAGCAGACACGTTGGTAGAGTGAAGCTCTTCTCACCATAGATTCAACAGTCTCACTGTCCATGTATTTAAAGCAGACACGTTGGTTAGAGTGAAGCTCTTCTCACCATAGATTCAACAGTCTCACTGTCCATGTATTTAAAGCAGACACGTTGGTTAGAGTGAAGCTCTTCTCACCATAGACTCAACAGTCTCAGTGTCCATGTATTTAAAGCAGACACGTTGGTTAGAGTGAAGCTCTTCTCCCCATAGACTCAACAGTCTCACTGTCCATGTATTTAAAGCAGACACGTTGGTTAGAGTGAAGCTCTTCTCACCATAGACTCAACAGTCTCACTGTCCATGTATTTAAAGCAGACACGTTGGTTAGAGTGAAGCTCTTCTCCCCATAGACTCAACAGTCTCACTGTCCATGTATTTAAAGCAGACACGTTGGTTAGAGTAAAGCTCTTCTCACCATAGACTCAACAGTCTCACTGTCCATGTATTTAAAGCAGACACGTTGGTTAGAGTGAAGCTCTTCTCCCCATAGACTCAACAGTCTCACTGTCCATGTATTTAAAGCAGACACGTTGGTTAGAGTGAAGCTCTTCTCACCATAGACTCAACAGTCTCACTGTCCATGTATTTAAAGCAGACACGTTGGTTAGAGTAAAGCTCTTCTCCCCATAGACTCAACAGTCTCACTGTCCATGTATTTAAAGCAGACACGTTGGTTAGAGTGAAGCTCTTCTACCCATAGACTCAACAGTCTCACTGTCCATGTACTTAAAGCAGACACGTTGGTTAGAGTGAAGCTCTTCTCCCCATAGACTCAACAGTCTCACTGTCCATGTATTTAAAGCAGACACGTTGGTTAGAGTTAAGCTCTTCTCCCCATAGACTCAACAGTCTCACTGTCCATGTATTTAAAGCAGACACGTTGGTTAGAGTGAAGCTCTTCTCACCATAGACTCAACAGTCTCACTGTCCATGTATTTAAAGCAGACACGTTGGTTAGAGCGAAGCTCTTCTCACCATAGATTCAACAGTCTCACTGTCCATGTATTTAAAGCAGACACGTTGGTTAGAGTGAAGCTCTTCTCACCATAGACTCAACAGTCTCACTGTCCATGTATTTAAAGCAGACACGTTGGTTAGAGTGAAGCTCTTCTCCCCATAGACTCAACAGTCTCACTGTCCATGTATTTAAAGCAGACACGTTGGTTAGAGTGAAGCTCTTCTCACCATAGACTCAACAGTCTCACTGTCCATGTATTTAAAGCAGACACGTTGGTTAGAGTGAAGCTCTTCTCCCCATAGACTCAACAGTCTCACTGTCCATGTATTTAAAGCAGACACGTTGGTTAGAGTAAAGCTCTTCTCACCATAGACTCAACAGTCTCACTGTCCATGTATTTAAAGCAGACACGTTGGTTAGAGTGAAGCTCTTCTCCCCATAGACTCAACAGTCTCACTGTCCATGTACTTAAAGCAGACACGTTGGTTAGAGTGAAGCTCTTCTCCCCATAGACTCAACAGTCTCACTGTCCATGTATTTAAAGCAGACACGTTGGTTAGAGTGAAGCTCTTCTCCCCATAGACTCAACAGTCTCACTGTCCATGTATTTAAAGCAGACACGTTGGTTAGAGTGAAGCTCTTCTCCCCATAGACTCAACAGTCTCACTGTCCATGTATTTAAAGCAGACACGTTGGTTAGAGTGAAGCTCTTCTCACCATAGATTCAACAGTCTCACTGTCCATGTATTTAAAGCAGACACGTTGGTTAGAGTGAAGCTCTTCTCACCATAGACTCAACAGTCTCACTGTCCATGTATTTAAAGCAGACACGTTGGTTAGAGTGAAGCTCTTCTCCCCATAGACTCAACAGTCTCACTGTCCATGTATTTAAAGCAGACACGTTGGTTAGAGTGAAGCTCTTCTCCCCATAGACTCAACAGTCTCACTGTCCATGTATTTAAAGCAGACACGTTGGTTAGAGTGAAGCTCTTCTCCCCATAGACTCAACAGTCTCACTGTCCATGTATTTAAAGCAGACACGTTGGTTAGAGTGAAGCTCTTCTCCCCATAGACTCAACAGTCTCACTGTCCATGTATTTAAAGCAGACACGTTGGTTAGAGTGAAGCTCTTCTACCCATAGACTCAACAGTCTCACTGTCCATGTATTTAAAGCAGACACGTTGGTTAGAGTGAAGCTCTTCTCCCCATAGACTCAACAGTCTCACTGTCCATGTATTTAAAGCAGACACGTTGGTTAGAGTGAAGCTCTTCTACCCATAGACTCAACAGTCTCACTGTCCATGTATTTAAAGCAGACACGTTGGTTAGAG